CTGTGCCATACCCATTGCTCATTGCTAACAGACAAAAGGCATTTGACGTTTTGAGATTTCAGATCTGATAAATCAATTTTGTAAATGTTGTTCTTTCTCTTGCCAGAAAAGAGGATTTATCCATCTTTTTGACTTACAGCTTTACAAGAGTTTTGATTGAAGATAATGTCATAGCCATTGTCACTTAATTGACTTATGGACAATAGATTATGAGCTAATCCTTATACTAATAAAACATTGGAGATAGAAGGAAGGTTACCGTTTCCAATGGTTCCAGAACCAATAATCTTTCCTTTCTGATTACCTCCAAACTTCACATCTCCTCCAGCTTTAAGTTCCAGGCTTTGGAACATAGACCTTTCTCCCGTCATGTTTCGTGAGCACCCAGAGTCCAGGTACCATGACTGGTGTTTCAATTGAGCTGTTAAGGACATCTGCAACAAATATTATTTTATCCTTAGGTACCCATATCTTTTTGGGTCCTTTTGGGTTAGTATAAGAGTTTCTAGAATGTGATGTATATTTTATATCATGTGAGTGTCCAAACTTGAATTGCTTATTCAGAGGTTTGTAAGTGAAGGTCATTTTAGCAACAGGTTTTGGAATATATGTCTCCTTCCCTTTGGGAGGTTCATATCCAATTCCTCTTCCGTTTTTTCCATTAACTCCATAGATCATTGAAGCCATTTTGCTTCTGTCTATGCCTTTAGCAAGAAAATATTGAAAGCTATAGTCATATTCTTTTAGAATATCTTTTGAACTAGACACAGACTCTGAACTAAAATTCTTTTGAACATTTTGAATTTCCTTTTTAAGTTTAAAATTGTTTTCTAAAAGTTCAGATTTTTCTGTTTCAAGTTTCTCAAGATCAGATGCAAGACTCTTCTTGAGTTTCTTGTATTTGATTTTGAGCTTACTATAGTTTTCCAGAAGTTCTGATAAACTGTCAGCAAGTTCTTCTCTAGAAAATCCAGAAAATACCTCTCTTTGTTCTGACTCACAGTCTGAGTCATCTTCTGTGATAACCATCAAAGCTAGGTTGGCATTTTCATCTTCATAACCAGATTCATCTTAAGAAGAATCTAAGTCATCCCAGGTTGCCATCATTCCTTTCTTCTTACCAAATCTCTTCTTTGGTTTTTCTTTTTGAACCTTTGGACAATCACTTTTATAGTGACCAGGTTCTTTGCATTCATAACAGATGATCTCTCTTCTGTTTGACTTTTTGTGTCCAGAAGATTCTTCTTTATCTTCTGACTTCTTGAAGTTTCTAAACTTCTTTTGTCTGTGCTTCCACAGATGATTGATCCTTTTGGAGAGAAAGGATAGTTCGTCTTCTTTTGACGTTGATTCTTCAGAGTTTTCCTCTTCAGCCTGAAAAGCGTTAGTATCAAATTTCTTAATTGATTTAAGGTCCAGAGACTTACCTTTCTTTTGAGGCTCGTGCTCATCCAGTTCAATCTCATGACTTCTGAGAGCGCTGATGAGTTCCTTCAGAGATACATTGTTCAGATCTTTTGACACTTTGAAAGCAGTGACCATTGGTGCCCATCTTCTGGGTAAGCTTCTGATGATCTTTTTCACATGATCTGCTTTGGTATATCCTTTGTTCAAAAGTCTCAGACCAACGATCAGAGTTTGAAACCTAGAGAACATTGCTTCTATAGACTCACACTCTTCAACTTTGAAGGCTTCATACTTCTGAACTAAAGCCAGAGCTTTAGACTCCTTAACTTGAGCGTTTCCTTCATGAGTCATTTTGAGAGATTCAAACATATCATGCGATGTATCTCTATTAGTGATTTTTTCATATTCTACTTTAGAGATAGCATTTAGAAAAATATTTCTAGCTCTATGATGATTTTTAAAATCAGCTTTTTGTTGTCTATCCATATTTTTTCTATCCACTTTGTTTCCTTATGAATCTGTAGGATGTTTGTAACCATCCAAGACTATATCCCAAAGATCACTATCATTACCTAGAAAGAAAATTTCTAGTCTATCTTTCCAGTACTCAAAATCTTCTCCATCAAACACTGGAGGTTTGTTGTAACTATTATTGTTTTGTTCAATGGCCATTGTGTTTTCTTCTGGATCTTTTCCTGACACGGTTAAGTGTTGTGCTCAGAGTCAAGCTCTGATACCAATTGAAGGGGTAAGAAAACACTTAGAAGGGGGGGTTGAATAAGTGACTCTTTTTCGTTTACAAAACAAAGCTCAAACAATAATGAAAGAACACAGTTATTTTTATTCTGGTTCATTTGAACTCAAACTACTCCAGTCCACCCGCCAAGTTGATTTCGCCTTTCTCAACAAGGACTTAATCCACTATAATAAATTGATTACAATCATACAACAACTGTTGTGACTAACAATGCACAAGTAATCTTACAAGTGACTAACACCACTAAGACTTAAATCTAGTCCTAGTCTGCTTGAGAAATTTGACCAAACATGGTCTCTCAAGGAACAAACACAGGAGTTTAATCTTTATAGATAATAAAATAGAGTTTGCTTCTAATCAAGCTATATCACAAATGTGATTTTTCACTTAGAATATAATGCACAAATTGTATGAACAATGAGTTTGTGAGCTTAGAATCTTTCACGTAGTTTCTTGCTTCTAATTTGAAAATTGATTGGTTCACTTGGTTGTTGGCTTGCAATAAATGTTCTTCTATTTATAGTAGGAACAATAAGACCGTTGCGGCCTTCAGAAAAGCTGGAGAGCATTAAATGCTTGTGTGTTTCCTTGCAATATTCCATTTTCCAAGAAACTAGTTGTAGGCACTTGAGTGCTTTCAGCCGTCTTTGCATTAATGAGCAAACGTCAGAATGTAAGAACATGTTTCCTTTGCTTTGACAAGACAAGTTGGTTTTAACGTTATTTCAGAATTTTCTCCAATGTTTTAAGTTAGAACATGCTTCACTTATCTTCTAGGCAGTGCTTTGCTTGCTAAGAACTTGGTCAACGCTTGCTTTCAAGTAATCTTCTGAGCAAGAAACCTGCTAAAAGTTAGAAGATATATTTAACAAGAAAAGTGTCTTACCAGAGTCAGCAGATGCGCTTGAAGAAAAGGTTCTTTCATCAAAGAACTTCTTCATAATATTTGCTTAGCATTTTAGAATGTTTTCTGTCAGAACATTAATTGAAACATTCAAACACATTCATCAGAGTATAAATTATCTTAAATATAAATTTATTGTTATCATCAAAACTCCGAGATAGGTCAGAAGTAATCTTGTTCTTACAGTGGCTAGTCAATCATCCTAACATGCATCCAAGAAAATGACTCCAAAATCCAAGAAGTTGCCAATCAGAAGGTCAAACACACATTTTATACCACTTAGTCCAACAACTAGGTTGAATGCGGCCAGAACTGTTGTAGGTCTAACAATAAGAAGGACAACATCTACTAAGAGATCCACACCAAAATGAAAACTTTAGTTTAATGTTAGAGATGTTGTTTTGCTAAGCTATGTTAAGTTTAGTTAAGTTATGTTAAATTTAGCTAAGTTATGTTTTGAACTTGTAATGTTGTTAGCTTGAACATGTGTTTTGTCTGAATATTGGTGGTTTATACCACATTATAATGAAATGTTGTTGTTAGTTTTGTTCAATTGATTGTTTATATGTTTGAGTATAAACCAATAGATAAATAATGGTATAAACCAATTGTGAATGAAAGCAAATATATTCAGTTAAAAACACATATACTAATTCAAATTGTTACAACTTAACTCATAACAAACATATTCAATTGAAAACACATTAATACATAACAAACTGTTACAACTTACACAAACTATTTTAAACTGATACAATAGTTAAAATATTATACATATGACCACAACTAAAACAATACAAAACAACCTCTTCAAATTTTTTTCCGAATTCATCGTCTTCTTCATTTGAATTTGTGAGTCCCTTATCTTTTATTTCAGTCCATCATTTGTTGCCTTTAAAGACTCCGTCCCATTTTACTACATCAAGTTCATTTTGAAGCTTCTCTAACCTACTCTTTTGCTTTTTCGTAAACTGATCTTTCTTATCCACCACGTCGAAAATACCCACTAACACTCTCGCAATGTATTTTTCAAATATAAAAAATTTCCCTCTCTAATATTTATAAGGGGTACCCCCACTCAACATAATTTTATTTTTAAGTTTGTGCGTTGTGAGGGGCTTAACTCTGAGTAGTAAATGTCCCAAAAACATCCCACTATATTCATTTATCAATATATATTATCTATTAAAAATATAGGTTTAAATAGTCTTTTGATCTCTGTAAGTTGGCGTGTTTTTCATTTTCGTCCTTGTATCTTTTTTTCTTGGAAATGATTTCTGAATGTTAAAATCCTTTAGGTTTTAGTCCCTAAAGTTAAAATCGGCAAGAAAATCCGTTGGTAACCTACAGATTTTCTTGTGAATTTTAGTTTTATGGACTAAAACCAAATGAAATTTAACATTTAAGGACTTTATCTATAAAACAAATCAGAGATGAAAATAAAAAAAATACTAATTTACAGAAACCAAAAAATTATTTAAGCTAAAAATATATAACACTAGTTCGGTATAATTTTAAAACATTCAACAATGACAATTTTTTAATGAATAAACAAACTTATATTATTGGATATAAACCTAAAACATCAAAATTTAACATAAACCATGTTAATGTGATTGGGTTTCTAAATTGCTATAATCATGGTAAAATTCTAGTAAATGTAACTTCTGAAGTTGCAATTGTGATGTTGTTGCAAATAATTTTAATTAATTTTACAGTTTGAGCCAAAATATTTAGCTTAAGATATAATTATAATACCATCTTCATATCAAGGTAGAATAAATATCAAACAATGACAATTACATATTTGACACTAAACTGCATGCATTCTTCTCACCGTCAATAAAAAATCAGTTCAACTTAAAAGAATAATTATCTTTTAAACCTTGATTATAAAATGTTATAGTCACAATTTATCTTTAATATGATTCCTCATTGTTCTTCATCCCCTTGATCACATGACATGAGCTCTTCAGCTCTTTGAGCTTGACCATCCCAATTTGTGTGTGCCAACACAAACATCATTGTCATCATACAACATCCTTGTGCTGCCAACATGCCAATCCACAAACCTTCAAAATCAAACCCTCCAAAGAAACTCAACCAAACAGCAACAGGCATTCCAACTACATAAAAACAAATCAAGTTTATATTCGCACCCAATTTCGGCCTAGCCGTTCCCCTCAAAACTCCACAAACCGTCGTTTGTGGACAATTTCCAAACTCGCATACACCAACAATCGGCAACACAATTCTTGTCAAATTGATGATCTCATTGTCTCTTGTGAACATACAAGCCCAAACATTCCTCACAGAAACTGCGAATATAAATGCCAGAAACCCTAATATAAAACTAAAACAAACTCCAACTATAGCTGCGATTTTCGCATGGTGTGGATTCCCTGCTCCTAGCTCATTACCAACTCTTGTTGATACTCCAAAGCTTAGAGATGATGGAAAAATGTACATCAATGATGTCGTTTGAATCAAAACTCCCATTGATGCAACACTTGCTTTTGGATTCATTAATAGCCCACAAAGCAAAGTCATGATTTCGTACCACCACCATTCAAGACAAACTGAAACGCAACTTGGAATTGCGAGGTTCAATAATGCTTTCCAATTTCTAAAACATCTCCAAGAAATTCCATTCCATGTTGTCTTGTATATGCCAGAAACAATTATATATATGATCAACGAGCCAACGAAGTTGAAATTCGTCCAAACAGCGCTTAAAGCGACACCTTTGATACCCAATTTGAGCGAAGTAACAAGAAGGTAGTTAATGGGAATGTGAAGGAGAATAGAGAGTGCAGCACAACATGATAGAGGAAATGTTATTGATTGACTTCGGAGGTAGATTCTCAAAGGGTGAAGAAGTGATTGTGCTGCTAGATCAGGAAGTGAAAAAAGAATGTATAGTTGTGCTTCTTTTGCTATATCTTCTTGTTGACCACACAAAAGCAGTAGTTTATTCATGTTGAGCCATAAGGATGCTATGAAAATTGATGTTAGTAGAAGAATAAGTACCATCCTTTGCATTGTCAGGCCGAGAAGTGTGAACCTTTTTGCGCCGAAAGCTTGGCCACATATAGGTTCCATCCCCATGGCAAGGCCGGAGAGAACGGAGTAACCGGTGATGTTGGCGAAACCAATGGCGAGTGAGCCACCAGCAAGAGCGAGCTCGCCGAGGTGACCGAGGAAGAGCATTGAGATCATGGAGCGGGAATAGAGTAATAAACCGGTTAGTATCATAGGCAATGATATTTTGGATATGTTTTTTGCTTCATTTAGGGCAAAAGAATAATGGGTGTTTTGGGGATTTTTGGTTTCTTGTTGACATGTTGGAGAATGGGGGATCAAAGGAGTTAACATATTTGGCTATTCTTAAAGGTTGTCAATATATTTGAGTGATACTTGTTTCTTTCACTAAATTTAAAGGTCGACAATGACGAGGCGACCACAGATATATAATTTGGAATATAGTGTTGCAGTGGATTCAAATCCGCAGATTAAATATTTTTAGGAAACTATTACACTTTACAAAAAAGTGTGATAAATGGAATTTAAAGGAAAAAACTTTTGAGTTGGTGCATTTTCAAAACAGAAAATAGTTGTAATGCACAATACCCTTAAAGTAGTGAAGAAAGAAAAAATATTATTTAAAGAATAAGTGAAAATAGAAAAGAACAAAGAAAAAGTTGAAGACAGTTTTATATTTATTGAAGGAGGGAAGGGGTAAGTTTTTGGAATGGTGCACATATACATGTAGCGGAAACAAGAGACAAGTTGTGTTTGAAGATTTTAGGACAGGAACAAATTGGTCAATATGAGTAAATATTTTTAAATGTTAACATTCATATGAAATCAATTTTATTAATTGTAATTGAATACACTATGCATTAAATCTCAGCTATTTCAAACTGTATTTCAAATTTTTGCTATTTTGACCAAATGTTGCGTCTGTCGAATGTAACCTTAAATGAACAAATTGTTTTGTTTGACAGCTTATACATGAAGATTTTAGAATCAGATACTTTATTTTTTTCCCTTAATTTACACCAGAAAATCTGATATACTTTTAGACTATATTTCTTTCATAAATTAGATAACCAAATTAAAATTTTATTTAAATGGAAAATTAAATATCACACTTCCTGTATCATCACATTCAAAATTAGGAAAAATACATATATCTCCATCATAAAATCAACGGCGGTACTAGGTACTAAATATATTCAGTGTGCCATCATATCTAATTTTTAACTTTTATTTTTTTTACTCTAAAATCATGATAGATTTTAAACATTTCACACAAATTAAAAATTTTAATTATTATTTCATAAAAAAAAAAATTATATATCATTTTACAACAACCCGTTTCATAATAGAAATTAAAAGAATTGATAAAATGGATAATAATAAATACTTGAAGGTATGTTAAGAAAAATTATAAATGTTGTATTGAAATTGTAAAATAAATTATAATTTAGGATAAAAAAATTTCTACAAAATATTTTATAATTTGGAAGAGAAGGAGTAAGAGATATTAAAATATATTTTTTATGATATATATATATATATATATATATATATATATATATATATATATATATATATATATATATATATATATATATATATTATATATATATATATATATATATATATATATATATATATATATATATATATATATATATATATATATATATATATATATATATATTTATATATATATATATATATATATATATTTATATATATATATATTATATATATATATATATATATATATAATAAACAAATTGCTGAAGATATTATAAATTGTTGGGTTTTTATGTTCGAATATATTTTTCAAAAATAACTAAATTTTTCAGACATATTTGAAAAGATTATAAGATTTAGACATTTATATTTTTTTTGTCATTCATCATGCCTTCCGCTTGGTTTTCTAAAGAATGGATATTTATAGCATAATCTTAAGCATCTAAGTTAATATTTTTCTGCATAGAGAACTTCTTTTTGATATTTAAATTGTTAAAATTTTATTTGTGATCGCTATGTTGTAAAATCAATTAAAATAATAGTTTTGTTTTCAATTATTATTATTTTTAATTAATTTTGTAAAATCAATTTAATATATATATATATATATATATATATATATATATATATATATATATATATATATATATATATATATATATATATATATATATATATATATATATATATATATATATATATATATATATATATATATATATATATATATATATATATATATATATATATATATATATATATATATATATATATATATATATATATATTGAAACAAATTATTTAAATAAAAATAATTATTAATTAAAAATAAAATAGATATTATATTGATAATAGCTTGTTTGTTGTCTGAATAATTTAATAAAATAATTTATTAATTTTATAAGTATGAATTATTTTTTAATGATTATAAATTAATTTTTAATAACTATCAATAATTAATCAATGATTATAAAATATTTTTTTTTTATGTTGAGACTAAATTTTATATTTTGAAATTTTTACATTTATCTTTCTCTTTCTTCATTATATTAAAAGGAGATTTAATTTTTTATTTATATTTATTAAAAACAAAAGGAGAAAAAATTAAGAAATAAAAAAATTAAAAATAAAAGTGAAAAAGTGAGGATAAAGAATAAGAAAGAAACTTGAAATCTGAATTTAAAGAAAAGAAAGAATAATGATAAAATTGAAGTTTAAAAATGAATTAATAGAATGAAACTATGTGTCACTTTATGGTGGGTTAGAATGGAAAAAAATTGAGACATTAATTATTTATTTATTTTAATTTTTTTTAGTGTAAAATAATATAAAAGAAAAGGAAATTTAAGTGGTTTGAATGTATCTTTTTATCTTTATATATATAGTTGATTACCATATTTTTATTAATGTTATATGAAAACGTGTATGAATGATAGTAATATTTACAGTAAAATTACAGTAACTTTCTCGCTAGAAAGTCCCCTAAGTCATTTCCCGATTCAGGACTTTTGGAGCCTCAAAATTGAAAAAAGAGTTAAAATTATAATAAATAATATATATAATTGTTCGCAAAAATACAATAAAATGTGTTGGTAGCCGAGCGCAAGCGTGATGGTTTAGGGACAAGTTGGACGTGGGTTTGAGTCATAGCTTTACTGAAAAAGGTAATTTTGTATTATTTTCACATCTTTATTTTACTAAAAATACAACTTAGTATTAATATAAGTAACAATATTATATATGTATTTTCAGTTTTTTAATTTTTTAATAATATATAAATTTTATTTAATTCATATTTAAAGATTCACTATTAACAAATTTATTATTATTAAATTTATATGATAAAATACAATATATTGATATTTGTGTGTAGTTTAATTATTTTATATTTTATAATAATAAATTAAAACTTAAAAAATTCAATTTTACATTTTTATTTTACTAAAAATGCAATTTGCATTTTCTTTTACTAAAAAACAACTCAATATTAATTAATATAAGTAAAAATATCATACATGCATTCTAAATTTTTATTTTTTTTAATAACATATATAAATTATATTTAATTCATATTTAAAGATTCACAATTAATAAATTTATTTATTATTAAATTTATATGATAAAATATAATATATTAATATTTGTGTATAGTTCAATTATCTTTTATTTTATAAAAAAATATTATTAAATTTTATATTATAATAATAAATTAAAACTTAAGAAATTCAACTTTACATTTTTATTTTACTAAAAATGAAATTTGTATAATTTCACATTTTTTAACCTAAAAAGCAACTAAATATTAATATAAGTAAAAATATCATATATACATTCTAAATTTTTAATTTTTTTAAAATAACATATATAAATTATATTTAATTCACATTTAAACCTAAAAAGCAACTAAATATTAATATAAGTAAAAACGCCATATATGCATTCTAAATTTTTAATTTCTTTTAATAACATATATAAATTATATTTAATTCACATTTAAAGATTCATCACAAATAAATTTATTTATTATTAAATTTATATGATAAAATGTAATATATCAATATTTGTGTCTAGTTCTATTTTTTTAATTTTATTTTATAAAAAATATTATTAAATTTTATTTTATAATAATAAATTAAAATTAAGAAATTCAATATTATTTTTGTGTAAGTGGATCTTCAACAATTATTTTTGTACACTATTCTATAACTCAATACATTGATTTGATAGCATGGATACTAATATAAAATTCACATCTCCTTTCTCAATATGTTTTCACATTTTTTATGCATTATCTTCCTTTTAGCACTTCATTGTCTTCCCCATCGAATCTTTGTCTCCCACACATGCGCCACCACACTACACGGCCGCCACCTCTGGTAACAACCACAACCATCGCCCTTCACTTTGAGTTAGACACAATGACCTTCTCTCTCTAAAACAAAAGAGAAAAACAATAGCCAAAAAAAGTATAAAAATTCAAGGTTGCTCGATTTTTATTATTTGCCTAGGCCTCTAAAAAGTCAGGACCAACTCTGATGGGATGCTGCAACTATAGATTTAAGTTGACAGATACGAGTATAAACTTTCCTTTCTATCAATTGTTAATTCATCAAAACTTAAGGTTTTCATGTTATATATTTAATTCCATTATTCTTATTCCTTTCATATTAATTTTATTTGTATTCTAATGCTTAATTTGAATGTCGGTAGAATTTGATAGGAGTTAGTTTGATAATATTTTGTTTCTTAGGGCGTAATTGACATGTTATAGTTTTACTATGCTTGCTTGTTTAACTATAACTCTCCATCAACCATGATGTTTTATCTGGTTATAGGAACTCAAATTGTGGTATTTTGGATCGAACTCCAGTCTCGACGAGGGTAGCTTCATGGTTTGATAGAGTTAGGAATGTTATAGTCGAAGTATGTTCAAACATGCAGTAGTCGAAGATGTGCATGTTGTATTCGAAGCTTGTCCTAGCATGATGTTGTATAAGTTAGCTTGTTGTTTAAGTAATCTTAGTGTCTAAGTTAGCTATGTATGTCATGTATATATGTGTGTTATCATCATACATAACATATATAACTAGTAGTCTATAAATTGGTTGCTCTCTCAGGTTTTTGAGAGAGGTTTAGGTTGGTTGTTATTCTATAATACTTGTAATCATAAATCCTAATGATAAAGTAAAGAATAACGATTTTAACCAATTTTATTTTCTTATTCTTTTTTCTTCCCCCTTCTCTCCCCTTTGTTAACTGAATTGTTTCTTGGTCAATAAAGAAACTCTCTATTTCTCACAGAATTACATCGTTATTGGTATCATTTG